GAGTTTGTCTTTGGTAGTAGTTGACTTTGTGGACGTAACAAAATTGGTCTGTCTTAGTATCCCAAGCAAAACACTTAGATAACTGATGAGGATTTCTGACTAAATCCGAAACTGTAGTCTTCTCTGCCTTTCCCGAAAGTAATCAATGTGACCATAACCCACATGAAAAATAAAAATTTTATTGTTTTACTTTTTGTAAAACAACATGAGAGATAAAGATAAAGATATTAAGGGATGAATCCTAACAGACGTCGCATTTTAAAAGGACCATCAAAATGAAATTGGATCCATAAACATGTCATTCTGCAACCTATACTAATTTATTCATTTGGTCAGATATAGAAGCTATATCTAAATCTGAACCGATTTCAACGATTTCAGGAAATTTAACACACATCAATCTAGACCTAATTCATTACGCTGTGCCAAATTTCGTGCAAACCGAAAGATATTAAGGGACTTTGGTACACCATTTACCTTAAATTGGACGAAAATATGGGAGCTATATCTAAATCTGAACCGATTTTCACGAAACTTAGCACACATCATTCTAGACTTAATTGAATACGATATGCTAAATTTCGAGCAAATCGAAAGATATATAGGGACTTTGGTGGACCAATTACATTGAATCGGACGAAAATATATATGGGAGCTATATCTAAATCTGAACCGATTTTCAGGAAACTTAACACACATCATTCTATACTTCATTCATTGCGCTGTGCCAAATTTCTTGCAAATCGAAAGATATATAGGGACTTTGGTGGAACATTTGCATCAAATCGGACGAAAATATATATGGGAGCTATATCTAAATCTGAACCGATTTTCAGGAAACTTAACACACATCATTCTATACTTCATTCATTGCGCTGTGCCAAATTTCTTGCAAATCGAAAGATATATAGGGACTTTGGTGCACCATTTACATAAAATCGGACGAAACTATATATGGGAGCTATATCTAAATCTGAACCGATTTTAATCAAACTCAGCACACATCATTCTGGGCCTAATTCATTACGTTGTGCCAAATTTCGTGCAAATCGAGTGATATATAGGGACTTTGGTGCACCAGTTACCTAAAATCGGACGAAACTATATATGGGAGCTATATCTAAATCTGAACTGATTTTCACCAAACTCAGCACACATCATTCTGCACATAATACAGAACGCTCAGCCAAATTTCGTGCAAATCGTATGATATAGAGGGACTTTGGTGCACCATTTACGTAAAATCGGACGAAACTATATATGGGAGCTATATCTAAATCTGAACCGATTTTCACGAAACTTATCACACATCATTCTAGACTTAATTGAATACGATGTGCTAAATTTCGTGCAAATCGAAAGATATATAGGGACTTTGGTGGACCATTTACATAAAATCGGACGAAACTATATACGGGAGCTATCTAAATCTGAACCGATTTTAATGAAACTCAGCACACATCATTCTAGGCTTAATTCATTACACTGTGCCAAATTTCGTGCAAATCGAAAGATATAAAGGGACTTTGGTGCACCATTTACATTAAATCGGGCGAAAATATATATGGGAGCTATATCTAAATCTGAACCGAGACCTATGCCAAAGAGACCTATGCCAAATTTCATCCAAATCGGATCATAATTGCGACCTGTATTTATTTTTACCACAAACCTAGTTGAAAAAAAAATAAGGAAGCTCTTGACCGATTGGATTAATCCTAGTTCATACGATAGTTATACACTCACAGAGAAACGTCCCATAATTTGGAAACGATCGGATTATTAGTTTTTGAGTTATCGTGCCCGCCATTCGCAAAAACGCAGTTTGGTTAGTCCGTGAAATGTGTAATTTACCAAGAATTGCACAGGAAATGATCCAGCGTGTCACTGTCTTCCCCACACGCTCTACTCATGCTGCTACCTTCGCATCCAATCTTGAGTAGATGTGCCTTCTGATTCCAACACATCGGCTTTTATGGGTCTCTGCATTCTCTTATTTCTTGGTGTGTTTGTAAATAGGTTTACAGCACACTATTGTTTAAAATGTATCAATCAGGCACCCATTTGATTATGGCCATGATTCCAGTGAATAGGTACCCATAAATTATATACAATTCCTTGTTGAGAGAAATCATTAATGGTATTTATACATTCCAGTACAATTTTGGTTTTAACTGTTTGGAAGATATTGCCTTTATAGCTTGTTTGCTATCCGTAATTATATTTGTTGTATTGTGTCCTGGTTTGGTTTGAACTTAACCCTTTATAGCTTCAACCTCTGCCTGTAGGATCATGCTGTGATCTATTAGGCGAAGAGAAATTTCGGTACCGGTTATTCGATAAAAAGTTCCAGTCCTCTTTTTCCTCCTAGTCGATAGCCATCTGTATAGTAACAGTTACCAGTCGGCATCTGAACTAGTGTTCTACTATTCCATTGCTCTCTATCTAATATTATAGTTTCGCATCGTGTTACTACTCTGAATCTGAATCTGAATCAAAGGTAGTGATTGTTTACTCAGTAGTTGCCTATAATATGTTTTTGTGCGGTATGTTGTGTCCGGTGTTTATCCACTCGTCCATTGCTTTAAGTCTTAAATCTGCAACCGCCGCTATGAGCCTTGTCAGCCCTTTGCTGTATGTGATCTTTCTTACGTTTAAGCCCCTCGATTTAGCCTAATCGTAGACGATGCAAAATTTTGTCTCAATTGGACAAATATTGGGAGTTTGGTGTATCATTCACAAAAAAATCAGACGAAACTATATATGAACCGATTTTCTAGAATTTCAATTGGGTTCGTCCTTGGGCCAAATAAGTGAACTGTGCTAAATTTCATCCAAATCGGATCATAAATGCGACCTGTACTTTATTCGCAAAAATACATGGACGGACAGACGGATATGCGTAAAGACATAATACCCTGTACCACAGTGTGGTGAAGTGTTTTAAAATATACATTTGTGGTTGTAATGAGTACTCTTCATCATTCGCCCGAACTTAGAGATGATAGGAAAAAGAAACCCGAAATTATTCATCATTGTAATACTACTAAAGCAGGTGTTGAAACGCTGGACCAGTTAGTTGCAACTTACTTATGTAAACGTCAAACCAAGCGCTGGCCGGTGGCACTGTTCTCGAATATAATCGATGTTTCGGGATATAACGTATATGTTATATGGACCGAACTTAATCCCATTTACACCATTTACATAAAATCGGACGAAAATATATATAGGAGCTATATCTAAATCTGAACCGATTTTTCCCAATTTCAATAGGGTTCGTCCTTGGGCCAAATAAGTGAACTGTGCCAAATTTCATCCAAATCGGATCATAAGTACGACCTGTACTTTGTTCACAAAAATACATGGACGGGCAGACGGACACGAAAAAAAGGAATACCACAAAGATGAGATGATGAGGACTTTTTATCGAGAATGAAAATTGTTTCAAGACGTATAGAATATGTTTCCAGCAAACAAGCTTCAGATATATTGAGTGAACAAACGCATAAAGTTAAATTAATCATTGAGATAATGTTATTGTGTGGAAGGGAATATATCGCCTTGAGGGGAAGTAAAGCCTCTGGAATACAGTAGTTAGACGTAAACTCAGTCCCAGAATACAGAACGGGTTAATAGAACTAATTGGAGAATACATCCAGAAGTCTATTGTTGAAGAAGTGAAAAGTGATGTGTTATTTTAAGCTTTAGCAAATGAAACTATATATGTATGCAAAACATTTAATATATACGCAATACATTTAGAGTACTGAAGTTATATATTTTTGTGACCGTAATAAACTTTTAAAACGCCAATAATATATATATATATATATATATATATATTTTAATTATAAAAAATGTGATTTGTCGTACAGTGTAAATATCTATGTGTAAACTCATTCTTGACATACTGTATAAAAATTGTCGATCAGTGAAAAATCGATGTCTGTATATTGTAATAGCGATGAAACCCATAATAGTTCAGGTTGAGCTTTGAGAGGTAGGTTTGGAGTACATGCTGATTACAATATTTTCTTGTAGTGTCCCTTTTCTCTCAAAACAATAACTCAATCTGTTGGATAAGTTTATACGAATATTGTTTTTATGAATTTCTTCAAGTAAATCTAACTTGCATATAATTTTCAATATTAGGTGTCTCATTTTAAATGTGGGAATTGTTTAATGATTTAATGATAATGTTGCCAAATGCCATCTTAAATACACCGGATCTTTTATATGCGAACTGAACTAAAACATGAAAACTTCACTTGTCCAACTTGATGGGCTTTTTCGGATTATGCGGCAGCTTTCATTGACATGATCAATTTTCCGTTCCCACGAAATATCCCGAAACACACCAATTATCAACCTTTGCACCAGATCAGGTTCATTGCGTGTCAAGTCCAACATCACCCACTTGCAAAAATTATGAGTCGCTACTGTTGATTTACGAACCGTAGAAATTTAGGCTGCGAGTGAGCACACATGTCTCTGTCACTGCCAAAATTCCAGCAGATAACCTATGCAAACGATTAGCAAATAGGCTAATTTGAGGCAATCTTCATTAATGTCAAAAACAGTAGCTGCAACAAATCTATAAAAATATTTATGTAAATATTAAAAATATCCAATATTGATTCCAACAACATCCCAATTAATAATTCACATCGTGCAACAACAACAGCAATATTAAGAAAAGCGAAAGAGGAGGCAAAAAAATGCCGCATAATAATAGGGGTCAAGCTATCAATGGGTTAGTTCGGTCGGATGTGATTTACGATACTGCAAAAAAAAAAGAAAGAGGAGGCAATGTTTATCAATGCCCTACTATCATCCCATTCCATAGAGAAGACGTCGACGACCTTGTTGTTGTTGCTGCTGTTCGTTATAATTTATTCTGAAATCGAAAATTCGATATTCATATAAAATGACATGAAACGCAACGAATCGACATCAGTTTCAATTTCAACGAAACACAAAAGCGACCTTAGAGGAACTTCTTCGATCCCCTTCAAATAAACTAAGCAGGAAGAATCCTAAAATGAAGGTAAGGATAGCGCAGCGAAAATGATAAAATAACAACTGGATTCTAATTCGAGTTTTGTTTTGTTTCCATTAGGCTTTCGTTTGTGTGTTGGCAGTTTTGGTAGCATCATGCTCCGCCGGATTCCTTGGCGGAAGTGGTGGTGTTGGTGGCGGTTATGGTGGTGATCATGGCGGCTATGGTGGCGGCCATGGTGGTTCAGTACAAACCGTCAAAGTTATTCATGCTGAAGGTGGTGCTGTCGGTGGTCATGGAGGTTATGGTGGTGGTGATCATGGTCATCACCACGGTGGCGCCGCTCAAACCATTAAAGTAATTCAAGTTGCCGGTGGTGCTGGTGGTCATGGTGGATACAGCGGTGGTCACGATCACGGCCATCATGGTGGTGCTGCTCAAACCATTAAAGTCATTCAAGTCGCTGGTGGCTCTGTCGGTGGTCATGGAGGCTATGGCCATGATCATGGTCATCATGGTGGCGCTGTCAAAACCATTAAAGTAATCCATGCCGAAGCTGGTCATGGCGGTCACGGTGGTCATCACGGCGGCCCTGCTCCTGAAGTCAAAACAATTAAGGTTGTTCATCAACAAGCCGCACCTGTCCATCAAGCCCACGCCGAAGAAAAAATCATCAAAGTTGTCCACCAACAAGCTGCTCCCGTTCACAGCCATTCGGAAGAAAAAATCATCAAGGTTGTACATGAACAAGGCGGTCACGTTGAACATGGTCACCATGGTGGTGCTGGCGCTGAAGAAGTCAAAACCATTCAAGTCATTCACGAACAAGGTGGAGCTGCTGCCGGTGGTCATGGTGGCTATTCGTATGGCGGTGGTGCTGAAGAAGTCAAAACCATTCAAGTTGTCCACGAACAAGGTGGTGCCGAAGGCGGTTATGGTGGTGGCTTCTCAGCTGGTGGTTATGGCCATGGTGGTGCCGGTGCTGGCGGTTTTGATGATTCTTTGGAAACTTTAAAATCTCTTAAGGTTATTGGTGCCTTGGGTGGTCATGGTGGTGCTGGCGGTTTCGGCGGTGCCTCTGCCTCCCATGGTTGGCAATGAGCCCCCCATCTATGAACTGTGATCCATTTCCCATTTCGTGTAGTTCAATTTTCCATCACGCTATCAAAACTCACAACACTAGCCTAATTTAGATATAAGTTATATTGTAAATATAAACAAATAAAACATTCAAATATTATAGTTAAACCAAAAATATGATGAGTTTAACTGGCGATCGTAGAGAAAAATGAAAATAACTGCAGATCAGTTATTGGCATTATTCCTTGGCTGTAATTGAATATTTTATTTTCAATTCATTCAGTTTTTTCGACTCATACGGAAGCTTTCATTGGAGCGATCTATTATCACACTATGGAACAGATACGGTTCATTGTGTATCAAGTCCATCTCTCACCTTGTTTCGCTGTTGATTTGCGAATCGAAACTTAAGAGATTTAGGCTGCAAGTGACCAGACATGTCACTGCAGCCAAAATGTCAGCAGATAACCTATAAAATACAAACGATTATTCAGAAAGATAAAAATCGTACCATGTATCAGATGGATATTGTAACCAATATCAATATTAGAAATATCAATATTGTTGATGTAGACTTCTAATTAGTAAAAAAACACCGTTTCGAGAAAAACGCGCTTATGTGGGTAATTAGGGTACATGTTTCAACCAATTTGGGAGCCATTTAATATTTTGGATTTTTATTGAGTAGAAAATGTTCCTACCAAAAGTTATCATCATTGGCCCTTGCATCCGGGTGGCTTCCATATAATAGTAACCCACATTATTTGGTATTTTGGGAAGTTTTGAACACGTTTTTTAACTGAATTGGCTCTAATTTAATTTGTCATGTTATCATGGAGTGTCAAATTTTCCTACTAAACATGATTTGGGTATTTACGGAGCTGGGACATTTGGTTCAACCAAATTAGCTGTAATTTTATATTACGGATTGTCATTGAGTAGAAAATCTCCTTACCAAAAATGGTCAATATTGGGCCAAGTACCCTCATGATGCACCCATTGTTCGGTATTTTGGGTTCGCTCTACTTAGATTTATCAATTTCTTATGGTTGTCAAATCTTCCTACCAACAATTTTCAATGTCAGTATATGTTTTGGTGTTTTAAAGACTTTAGCCGAATTTTCCAAAGATGGGGCAATAATTTGGTATAAAACGTTCTGGAAGTTAGATTTTTACAAATTTGTGCGATGTCAAAGTTTTTTATGTAACCCACATAAAAGTTCCATTCCTTTTTTGGTATTACTGATTTTTATCGTGGAAGTGGCTACAATTTCACATATCGGATTTCTGGTGTATAAAAAATATATTAAAAAGTCCCATTTCAGTTTTCCGACAAAAGTGCCTGTAGTTTAGAACACTATTTTTTTTCAGAACATTAACAACCCATTATCCCCATATAAATGCCCTGATCGACTTAAGAGACGTGGAGTGCACCCAACGTGGTGGAGTGTATAAAAAGTTGTGCCGGCCATAATTTAACAACGTTTTACCTGTCTGATATTAATATTATCGCAATTTCAAATATTGCACCGATTCACAGTGGGAAAAATGCAGATCTAACGCGCAGAAAATAAAAGTAGATGTTTTACTGTATGTTTATCGATATTTTGGATAAGAATAGATTTAGATGGACAATTGAAATTATTTTATGAAAAAAATTAGCATTTTTTTATTAACCCACTAAGCGCCGATTTTTTTTAGAAAAAAAATTTAGACAAAACTTAAATTTTTAGGTGAAAATTACTATATTGAAGCTTTTTAAACATTTTTTAATAAGCAAAATTTTTCGTTATAACTAATAGTACTCCTAAAATGGGAGCTTCCTTTATAAATTCCGAAACATTTGGATGGTAAAAAGTGGTCATTATTGTTAATATTATATATCTAAAACATTAAACTATATATATATATATTTTTTTATAAAATTTAGGCATTACTTATTAAATACTAATCACATCCAGGATCCGAGTTTTTATCTGAATTAGTTGGTAGCATTGGATCCTCCAGTAGTTTAAGGACTTCTTCAGATAGTGGCTCACTATATCGATGGTTAAGAGATATACTACGAGACAAACTTGATATTTTTGGATCAGAAGAAAATAGCAACCTATTGAAAAGATCCATCATTGTTTCCTCACGACTCATTTTTCTGGTGTACAGTTACCTGTGGTTCCGAAAGTCCTTATTTCTGAATTCCATGGCTTCTTCAGACAACATTCCTATGGGCAAAGCTGCACATTCAATTATATCAACTCCATGCACTAATATTTTGTGTATGCTTGAAGGCATATAGAACCAAGGATATAATTCCACGAAAAGAATAAATGTTTCCTCAGTAAGTTTTTTAAATGACTCTGCGTTAATAGCATATCCACAGGCCATGGTTGAAAAGATCATACTAAATTTTTTTTATTAATTTCTCATCAACACCAGTTATCGACGATGCCAAGCCAGGTTGGCTAAAAAACGCATAGCAGCATTGGCATCGTTTGTTGTTCCGGATACTGACTTAGGTGTGTCAAAAATAATGTGCATTTCTTCCTTCAAATCATTAATGACCTTCCTTTCTTCGAAAAGCGGCCGATCGGAGCTATTAATTTTCCACTTTTTCAAAACCAGTCGGTATGAAATGTGCAATATACATTCTAAACATCAAATCCTTGCATGTAAGGTAGACAGGCCGTATTCGTATAAGTTGATGGTTGGTGTTAATGACGAAATTTTGTTATAATCATTCATAACTTTTGGTGTTGCACCGCAAATTCCACATGATTGGGTAGATGATTCCGATATAGTACTAAATACCTTGCCGTCGATCATTGTTAATTGAAAGACAACCGATTTCGTTGTAATTTCAATTTTTATTTAGAAAGACATTTGGAATAAATGTATATTCAGCGCATGAGTTTAAAATCACAGCTTACTTACATACCCTCATTTTCATACCCACACCCATTTCTCTGGAACCTTAGGACGGATATTTTGAACTTGTTTTTTTTTTTTCTTAACTGCTATGCTGTGAACTATTTCAAGTCATATTTGATAAATTATATCAACAAAATTCACAAATTTTTAATTTTATTTGAACAAAACCTTAAAAAAGCTTCCTACACCAAATTCGAATTTTTTCAAAAAATTGCCATAAATCCGAGAGTCGCAGGAAGTCGCAGGAAAAAATTTAGTATGATGTTCTAGACAGACACACAAAAAAAAATCAACGCTGAACTCGACTGCACTCCATACGAAACCCTATTTTAATTGAAGTAATTTAAAAAAAAAACGGACCTTACATAAATTTAGCCCGAAACACCTAAATTAAAATAACTTATAGGTTATATAACTATTCCATTTAATTAAATATCAATACTATATATCAAAAATGGACAAAATTCTATAATAATATATTCACAGAATGCACACGACCATCGCAATTTTATAGCTAAAAAATACCATTTTTAACATTGGAAAAAATATCTATTTTAAATGTACCGTTATTCCGTTCTAACTTATTAATACGGATTAAGTACACTCAACACTCTACTTTAAAACTGCATTAATGTTTTAAAGTTTCCTTCAAGTTCATTTGTCTATTTTCTGCGCGCTAGATCGGTATTTTTCCCACAGTGTGATTGTTACGAATTTTTGCTCTGGAAGAAACATAAGAGGATGACACCTATAGCATCCGGTGCTGATCCGAAAATATTTATAGGGTCAAATAGACCAAATTGTTATTTTTTATGATCCACCAACACCATGAAATTTTACATGGGAAATGGAGACTAAAAGAAGAAATAGTTGTCAACCTATGAATGAATTGGGACTTTAAATTAATTTCACTTTATTTATTTCTAGATATTTTAAAATATAAAAAATGATTATGGTCGGATATTCTAAAATATTCACAGGGTTTTATATAACCTAAGATTTATACAATGGCCCAACTGTAATATAATATGGCCCTGTGCGATTATACTGCTTCGATCACTGGCTTACATTTATTTAGAATACTAAACAGTATTATACAAAATATAAATATAAAAAATTAAATATTCAGATTTTCCGATATCGGCCTCCTGAATATTGGTTGATAATCCACACTTATTCCCTCAACTAATATGGCTTATGTGGCAGATATAAAAACTTTAAAGCTGATTATTATCCTCTGATACTTAATTATAAGAAATAGTATCAAAAACATATAATAAATTTGTATTAGTTAAACATTTTTACAGTTTTGTAAAAAAGTCAAATTCGCCGAATGTGCCCCAACCCGGGGTAGCTTCGGCATTTGATGGGGCACATTTGCCATCATAGTCATAGTCTGGTAATTATCATCGCTATGAGTGTAGTTGAAATTCAGGTCATCAAAATGGAAATTTTGTTTTAATATGCGACTCAAACTTTGACTGTTAAGGCTATATTTTCTAGCGGCGGTCGTTTACATCTCAAGGTCACACATATCATCAGAAATAGCTTTTTTCTATCTCATTTTTGTCAATGCAAGCACGTTTGATCTTATATATCTAATTTAAAATTTTATTTTTAAAGACAAACTCTAAAACATTTTAAGGAAATAATATAGCACTACCTGTATATGAATGTACCCCAAAGGCACTTTTTATTGTATTTATTTATTTTTTTCTATCAATCTTTTAAAAACATTATAGATTTAATTATTTTTATAAGAATGCAGATTGTAATTAACTACTTATTAATAATACTGCAAAGTACTTACGAAATGGAATGGAAATATTACAAAAACATGTCTAAAATTACAAAAACCCGTGCATCTAAATAAGTTTATTAGCTAGAGATTTCAAATTATGCGAGAGTTATTTATATCGATATTCGATACCTGTGTCGAAACTAGTTATCGAAAACGGTTTGCCGAAGGTGCTCCGATGCCGAAGGTTCCCCAGTCTCCCCCATGACATTTGAAGCTACAAACTTGAAAGTGCATATATCCCAAAAATACAGCAATTATTACATATAGACGCTCATCAGCTATTAAATGCAATATA